TTCTCAGTGACACACTACTTAGTTTGAGGTACATTATGAGATGTTGCAACTAATTCCTCACCATCGGTATTAGCAAGTGCATGTCCATCAACAAACCAATTATTTTACTTGCATTGATTTATTTGCAGAGTATTTTTCTAATATATTGTGGTGAACACGTGGAAACTCTATCAATAACAGTGCATGTCGTATATGCAATGTATACATTAGCTAAGTTAATGACTGATGTAACATAAATGTTGGTAAAACAAATATTTTCACAAAGTAACATTTGTGAGAACGCCAGACAATCTGCATTAATAGACACAGTTATAGGTAATAGTGCGAATCCTGCATTGAACTCTGAGATTTGAGAAGTAGTTGTCAGTAAAATAAAGGGAACAGCAAAATATTAGGATTATACTGCTGTGGTGTATTGGTAAAGATAAATTTGAACCACTGATTCCTCACATGCTCGTCTTTGGGCAGTGAAAAAAAAATATGGCTTTAACTTCACATTGTAGAGCATAGCGTCTTCTCGACATGACGCTGTCCAGGAATCAGCTGCAAGTGTTTGAGGTTCAAGTTTTCCCTGGTGTCTGCACGGGCAATATGCTAATGTTTTGTCTTGACGTCTCAATGAAACGGCTTATGACTCATTTGAAAAACAATTATTTCATTGACTCAGAGTCGACTCTTACTTTTGAAAGACAATAATCGGTGCTAGCCTGGTTAAAACAAGACCATTCTCGGTTTGTAACTGAGTTAAGGTATGGCAAAGCATCATAGACAAATCATTTCCAAATGTGCGTCACCAACGGAAGTAGCTCAAATGCCTCTGGGAGCAATTGGATAGACCTAAAACCAATCAGAGCGATGCAGGGGATGACGTATGAAGAGCGACGTTTGTCTGTTAGAACAACTTAGTTTGAATAAACAGCAGACACTGATTAGCTCTACGTTTATTTGAAATGAACAGCAAGACAACTAGAAAGGAATGTGCTTTAAACATACAGTGGGGCCAAAAAGTATTTAGTCAGCCACTGATTGTGCAAGTTGTCCTACTTAGATTAATGAGAGATTATGTCTGTAATTTTCATCATAGGTACACTTCAACTATGAGAGAAAAAAAAAATCTCATTGTAGGATTTGTAGAGAATTTATTTGTAAATTATGGTGGAAAATAAGTTTTTGGTCACCCACAAACCAGCAAGAATTCTGGTTTTCACAGACCTGTAACTCCTTCTTTAAGAAGCTCTGTCCTCCACTCGTTACCTGTATTATTGGTTTGACCCTGTTATCTGTATAAAAGACACCTGTCCACAGCCTCAAACAGTCACACTCCAAACTCAACCGTGGCCAAGACCAAAGAGCTGTCGAAGGACACCAGGAAGAAAATTGTAGACCTCCACCAGGCTGGGGAAGAGTGAATCTACAATAGGCAAGCAGCTTGGTGTGAAAAAATCAACTGTGGGAGCAATTGTAAGAAAATGGAAGACATACAAGACCACTGATAATCTCCCTCAATCTGGGGCTCCATGAAAGATCTCATCCCGTAGGGTAAAAACGATCATGAGAACGGTGAACAAAAATCCCAGAACTACACAGAGGGACCTGATGAATGACCTGCAGAGAGCTGGGACCAAAGTAATAAAGGCTACCATAAGTAACACACTACACCGAGAGGGACTCAAATCCTGCAGTGCCAGGTGTGTCCCCCAGCTTAAGCCAGTACATGTCCAGGCCAGGTCCTGCGGTTGTGTACTTGCGTAGAGAGGTTTAGATAAATGGGTTTGAGTGAATAATTATCAGTATCTAACCTGACAAAAATGTATTTATTCAATGTTGTCCACATTATATTGCATCTGCAGAAGCATTGTGAACTTTTGTAAAGCTAGGTTAGACATTAACTTTTAAATGCATCATTATATTTAAATTGCACACATGAGGAGGGTCTCCGCATGAAAGACTCACGACTGCGACAACATTTCTCTCAGAAACGGTAAGAAATTAAATTCGATAAAGATGATTAAATTCGTTAAAGATGACGAAGTAGTATATCCCAAAGCTTGCCTACTCTTTTACTACACACTCAAAAGTATGTACTTTTTCTTCACAAAAAGAGTACATACTTTTAGGGCGTAGTATAAGTAGGCAAATTGGGGCGCAGCAGGGGTCTTGCCGGTCTTGCGCCACCGAATGCATCATGTCAGCGGAGTCTGATTGGTAAAGCGGCAGAGATTTCAGACCTCTCCCGAATCATCTCCAGCAGCTTCCGAAGCACCACTAACTCAGCCTCTGTTTCCCTCGAACGCTGATATTAGCATTTAAACATTTTCTATGATAACATTTTTTTGGCAAAACATGGTTTTGGTGGTTATAGAGTTCTAATGACGGTGTTCAACTATAACCGTCACACCCCTAGTTCCAGGGCGACATCCATCTTTAAATGTACAAAATCTGCTTCACCGTCGCTGCGCTGACATCATCGTGTAAAGCCCGCCCCAACGTTTCTGATTGGTGCCGCAATTTCAACGGATTAGAAATGGGCTTGAATGAGCTCTTTGCCAGACTAACTTGCAGAGCAAATCTAAAACTGCCATAAGTTGTATGGGTTTTCGAAGGCTAATATGGTGCACTTTGAGATTTAAAACTTTGCTGGATGTTTTCAGTCACTTAGAGCTATGTTACACACTACATGAAAGGTCATCTTTAAAAATCCATCATAAGGGCCCTTTAACAAACTCTCACGGAAAAGCAAAGAACACAGTCAGGATGGACAGTAATTCATTAATTCATTATTAATCTGTCTGGGGCAGTAGTCTTAAAGGGTCATCATACTAGTACCTTAAAGGGTTAGTTCACCCCAAAAATGAAAATTCTGTCATTACCAATATGACTTTCGTTTGTCTTCAGAACACAAATGAAGATATTTTTTGTGATACATAAGTGATTTCTATCCCTATCCCTATTTGACGCTTCAAAAAGTTCATAAAGAGATCATAAAACGAATCCATATGAATCGAGCAGTTTAGTCCAAATTTTCTGAAGAGACTCGAATGAACATATCGAACATATTTAATTTAGGCTTTTATACACAGATAAACATTGATCAGCGAACATAAATAGAACTCAGTCAAACCTGCTTGATTTGCAAGAAAAAACCTCATTGGTTCTTCTGAAGCTCAAACGTGATGCGTAACACAAGAATAAACCTGTTATTAACCTGTTAAACATGTTTGAACTTCTGTTTACCACAACTAATGTGTGAGTTGATGAACATTTATGTGAATAAAAGCTTAAATTCAATCTGTTCACCATATAAAGCGATTGTGTCTTTACAGAAAAATTTGACTAAACCGCTCAATTCATGTGGATTAGTTTTACAATCTCTTTCTGAACTTTTTGAGGCATCAAAGTGGTAGTCGCGCTGTCAATGGATGGACAGAAAGCTCTCAGATTTCATCAAAAAGATCTTCAATTGACTTCGAAAATGAACAAAAGTCTTAGGGGTTTAGAACGAAATGAGGGTGAGTAATCAATGACAGAATTCTCATTTTTGGGTGAACTATTCCTTTAAGAGAATATTACAATGCACCTTTTAGTGGTAAAAAAAGGTAAGTTGTCCTTTTAAAGGTATACTGCCCCAGCGACAAGCTGTTGCACCCCTAAAGATACAACCTGACAGTGAACAACATCAACATCACAAATACTCCATATCCTTTAAAGTTCCAATGTTTATTTGAATGGAGCGATTACTGAAAAATGAGAGCAATCCACTAGCCGAACTTTGACCTCAGTGCTAAATTGAATGAATTCTCTCTGTGGGGTAGAAAATAAATTGAAGTCTAAGTCTTGCTCAAAGATTAAACTCAATCCAGGGTTAAAGTGCAGTGCGGTGTCAGTCCGTGATAAAAAAAAAAAATCCTATTTTTGGTCAGGGACTTTGCTTAAACCGCCCTGGATTCTCTACAGCGGGTATGGAACTGACACTGCGGATGATCCCTTTACTATTTTACTGTGTGCGAACATTTGTGCCCTGCGGAGATGGCAAATCTGGTGAATCTTGTACCCACTGAGAGCAGTAAATCTGACAGGTTACTGCATTATGCTGAATTAAGGCATTCTGCACCCTGCTGCCTCTCTGTAGCATTGCCTTCGTAGAAAACACCATCAATCTCAATAAGACATCATTACGTAATTGCCACTGCGATGCAGTTAAGGCCAAACTATGATTTCATGCAGGCTTCAGAACGCATCACATCACTGTCTAGGATTTTGTGCAAGGCAAGATAAAGAGAAAACTGCATGCTTAGTCATTTATGCAGTATTAGAAAGAAAAAAAGTGTGTCAAAACATGCTTGTCTGCAAGCAAACAATCCCTGCTGTCTTGGCGAACTGTGATGACAGAATTAAAGCAGTTGCCATAGGAACAAATTCAATTTATTCAAGTTCAGCCTCTGACCATGCAGATGTCAGGTGAAGTTATAAGGATGAGGCTGATGCTAAATCCTTCATGTGCAATGCATGTCAAAATAAAATGTAAAATATTATATAAATGTATAAATATTTATTTATTTATTTATAGCTATATAGACCACATAGCCAGAGGGCAATGACAAATGGAAGGGCAATGCATCACATTTAACCAGCATATTTTCATCTATAATTTCATGAAGTACAGTATGTTCTCCCAAGCACTGCCACTGTAATATATTCTTAAAGGGACAGTTCATCATAGATATACTCCTGAACTCATTGTTTTGCAACCCTGCATATCTGAAATGTATGCATGTGTGTGTGTTGTTTTTGTTCATACAATAAAAGTTAATGGGCTCCAAAGTTGTTTAAATAGCAATGTTGTTTAAAATACATGACAGAAGAAAGAGGTTTGGATTTGGAATGAATGGAGGGTTAGTAGATGATGGCAGAGTTTTCATTTTTGTGTGAACTATCCATTTAAGAAATCACACTGACTTCTCAGTATCACTTGTTCGAACTTCACACAACAAACATCTTACCTTTCTTGAACTGTTCCAGCATTGCATCCAGTTTGGTGTCATTAAAGACACAGTGCAGCGGGTGCTTGTAGAACTGGGTGATGGTTTTTAACGGGGTGCAGTCATCTGGATCAACAAAGGCCAGATCTTTAACAAACATAATATCAACAATATTAGACCTTTCGTTCTCAAACACTGGAATGCGAGTGTATCCACTCTGCATCACGTCTGACATGGTGTAGAAGTCCAGGATGGCATCCGAGGCCAGCATGAAGCAGTCGTTGAGAGGGGTCAGCACATCTTCCACCGTTTTGCTCCTGAGTTCCAGAGCTCCCTGGATGATGTTCAGCTCCTCTTTCACCAGGTCATGATACGGGTCAGTAACTCTCAGCATGGCCAGTAACTTCTCCCGGGTGTAGAAGTTGCTGATTTCCTGGTGCAGCATGTTGTCTAGGAGTTTGCTGATGGGATACGTGATGGGGAAAGTCAGCAGCATCAGCGTCTTGGTCAGCCACACGGTCTTAGACGCGATAGCCAAGCCGTGCCTGGACGCAACCGAGTGCGGAAATATCTCTCCGATGAAGAAGATGAGAAAAGTGCACGCTGCGGTGGAGACGGGCGTCAGTCCGAGGATCTGGCAAATCCAAACCACCAGGAAAGTGTTGGTAAACACGTTGCACAGCACTAAGGTGCACAGGACGTAGTTGCCGTGTTTGCGCACCGACTCGATCTTGTGCGCGTACTTTTGCTCCATGTCCGTGCCGCTGTTCTGCAGCACTCGGAGCTCCACCGGGTCCAGCGCGAGCATGCTGATCACCAGCCCGCTGAAGAGCGCGGACAGCCCGAGCAACAGCACCGAAAGACCCGCCTGAAGCCACCCGTCCGCATGCGGCAGCCGCTCCACCACCGCCAGCCAGAAGTCGCGCGTCCGGTAATGCACCCACTTGATCCCGTCAAAGGCGCAGATCGAGTAATACTTGATTTTCTCTCCTCTCCGGAGGTCTTTGGCGAGCAGCTCCACCAGGATGGAGTTTTGACTTGAGGCTGACTTGAAGGAGCCGAGAAGCTCTATGTCCGAGCTCCTCGCGCTTTCCTCCACGCACAAGTTGCGTTTGGGATGCACCTGCCCCTCTCTGCCCGGCTCCGGTTCCTCTATGAAGGCGATCCACGGCGCGGCTCTTCCACCGGAGCTGCTGACGGTCCGGTTGAGCCTCTGCGGTGATGCTGCATAGTACACGCGTAACATGAACCGCGTCCCTTCGGTGGCCTTCAGCAGCCCGTCCTGCACGGACAGATCTCCCCCCGTGGCCTCCGGTCGGAAGCCCAGCAGCCCGTGGCTCGGTGTGGGGAGAGCCGAGGCGATCAGCAGGAGCAGGGCAAGGAGGCATGGTCCAGGGATGCGGTGCGGGAGGAGAGCATCCGCAGCATCCGCAGCCATGATGCTGAGTGGGTTGTAGAAGGACATTGGCGAGCTGAATCACGTGGCGAAGACACACACCCACGGACACACATATCGACTCTGTTTGCCGAGTCAGTGTTAACAGCTGGAGTCTCGTGTAAATAAAAATGACACCGCAGTGACGTCATGACGCGTCGCAGTCATGAGAACTGCACTGAAAATAATTGTAGCATTTAAATGAACTGGGGAAACAAAATGGTGTGAAACGATTTCTTGTTATTTTACCTCTACAAACCCAGAAGATCGGTGAACAGATGTATAGAACTATCAAAAGATACCGGCCTTTTATATTGTACACACCATGCACTGTGTTGAATTTCCTGTTTTATAAGCTTTGGACAGTGGCCTAAAAAGTAGCTAATGGTATTTGAACATAAAACTAATGAATTTCAGTGAATCACAAATGTTGAATTAGCAAAATTATTAGCCTAGGCCTAAATAAATATATTCTTAGTGAATGTACGCTGCAAAAATGACACGATCAATGAATCATGACAACATACATACGTTTTTATATTACTTCAACTCATCAAAATAAGTTAAGCCATTTTAAACTTTTTTTTTTTAATTATACGAGATTCAACTAAATTTTAATCAGCATTAAATTGTCTATTTAAACATGACATGTTATGAGAAAGTGTACCATATTCATATGAAGAGTTCAGATGCAAAAGCCTCTAAATGCCATTTGAAATTTTCTTCTAGAATGGTCATTTTTATCAAGCTTGTATATTTAAGTTCAGTGATTTCACTTAAATGGCAATGATAATTACCTATTAATTGTTATTTAAGTGAAATTACTGAACTTAAATATACAAGTTTGATAAAAATCATCATTAAAGAAGAACATTTCAAATGGCATTTAGAGGCTTTTGCATCTGAACTCTTCATATTCACTTATTGAATTTATTGGTCAATGAGGGCATTAAATGAAAATTTGTTTCCATTTCAACCTAATCCAAAAAAAATCTACTTTTATGTGGAATTTAACGAGTCTTCACCACAAGGTGGCACTCTATCACAATTCGCCATGACTTGCCAGCTTCTAGACAAAGGGATATTGTTAGGCTATTTGATTCATGGAATAAAATGTAAATTTTGCAAAACAATTTCAAAAATAGTGACATAAGAACAACACATGTAATAGAAATTTTATTTCACAATTGTATAAAAAAGTTTTGTTTTTTTACATAAAATTGCTCTAAATATCTATTCAAACATGCACACATAGACCTCTGTGTGTGTGTGTGAGAGAGAGTGTGATCATGATATTCTGTGTGTATAATCTGAGACAAAAATATAAATAATAACAAAAATAGGGACAAAATATCCGAAATTCTTGTCTTTGTGGGGACATCTTTGGCCCCAATGAGGAAAAAGCTTATAAATCATAAGTGATGTTTTTTTTTTTTTTTTTTTTGGAAAATGTTAAAATGCAGAAAGTTTTATGGGTAGGTCAACATAAATACCCATGAAAACACGACTGTTCAGTTAGGCTATTTTATAACACAATCTTCATTGATTTGCATTCCATCTTTCTTTTCTCAAACCAAGAAATTCGTTCAGTGGAATGTTTGTTATATTATTTAAAAATGTCAACAACAACAGAACAACAACAACAACAACCTCTCTTCGCCGATAGCAGGGTGAAACAATAAGTAACGGTCTCATAAACATGTTTTTTTATTCCCCGAGTGTTTGGACGCAGGCCTAAAGCAGAGAGCCAGTGCGACACCATCCGAAAAGTTCATGAGTAAGATAAAACTTTAAGAAAAAGAAGAAATTTGAGATGTTTGGCTGTGTGTGCTAACCACTTTCGTCTGCTCAGCATCACTCGCTTCCACCTCGTAAATCAGAGACAAATATGTGGAGGGTTTTTCTTCATCTCCCTTTCTCTCTTGTTGCCCACGACTCGTCAATATTCGTATGTAAAGCCTTGACCTTGTCATGGGCTCTGACTCTGTACGGAGGCTCACAAGACAGATAGCAGGCTCGGGAAACTTTTAACTCATACAATATTGATGGTCCATTTAGTGTAAATGTTGCACGTCCTTCAGGAGCCTGTTAGGAAACAGTGGGAGTGCCGTGCTCGGATGGCTTCACTATTTAAGACTCTATATTTTCTATTAATGTGTGTGAAGAGGGAAAAATCACAGCACAAATAATATAACACAGCCTATTTATTAAAAAAAAAATATCGGAAATGGAAAATAATGCAACTTTAGTGCATATTATTCAGTTGTTTAATCCAATGTATTTTAATAGCCTATTATATTAGGTGATTATTGCGTTGCGTTTTATATGATTATGTACTATTATTTCTTCTGCAATTAAAATGTATAGATTTGGACAGGACCATAGCGTTCATGAACTTTAAACTAGGCGAGTAGACATTTAACTATTATTATATTAGTAACTGAAAATCTCGACGTGTTTTTTTATTTATTTAGCCTATGAACTTTGACAAATTACCCGATCAAAATAGTGCAAGCTTATTTGTAATGGAGTTTTATAACGCGACTCATAACCTTCTGCAAAATCGTGTCAGCTGTTATTTTAATAATTAATAATGTGCGCAAATAAGATCGATTTATATGAACTGATTTAAATATAAACATTTAAACAGAAATTACATTTAAGTGAAGATTCCCCCTTAAATATATTCAAAATAAATGTAAAGTCTATTTTGTAGCAAGAACAAACTAAATTAATTATTTAGGATATAAAAAGTGGAAGCATGTAGCCCACTGTTTATAGACTTTTCAAAATGTTTTTTTATTATTATTTTTTAGAAATGAAGGGGAGCAACATGTACAATTATCTTGAGTCATTTATAGCTTATACTGTTTTGCTTTACATAAAACTATAAGAATTTCTCACTGTTAAACCTTGCCTATTTGATATATTTAGGCTACATGCACCCATACTCTCTAAAACGGCGAGTTCCAGTTTCATAAAGCTTAAATGCACTTCAAAAGATTTCTAATATAAAACTTGATAAATCTTGTCATACATCTAAGGTTAAACAGAGGCACCCTGTCTGGTTCTCTGCCAAGAAATATAGCCTGTAAAAACAGCAGTCTTGTTTTCTTTCTGTTTTGTTTTATTCTCTGCAGAAAGCGGATGAGTGTCCCAAGACGCGCGGAATGTTAGGCCAAAGTCTCAAGAAAAAAAATCAATTATTGGACAACAGCATCAAGGCTCAGGTGACAGAGCATTATTATTGTCTATATTGACCTGTGCACGTCAGGTTTAAGAAGAGCATGACACATGTCAGTCACCAGTTGAGATGATGGCATGCCGGCAAAAATTCACCCTACTATTAAAGTCGATATAGGCTATTTAAAGGCTACACCAAATGTTAAGCATTTCAAATTCACATTTCATAAAGCACTGCGAAAGGACAAAGAACAGCGTCAGACTTGTGTTGCTCCTGAATGCGCTATTTGAAATATTAAATATATATGTATACAACAATTAGGCTACTTTATCGAAAAGATGGAAAACTATTTTCGGGTTGGTGTCTATTGTAAACGAATATTTAAAAAAGATAAAGCAAGCAAAAGTTTCTTCTGACACATGGAGAACACGATTAGTTTAGGATAGTTTAGGAGAACACGATGTGCTCCTTATCCGATCACGAAATTATTGGTAGATTATTTTTGTTTCGTGATCTATAAGTGCTATATTTTTCCTGCTTCCTAGACCGAGTCGCGATGTGAATAATTACCCAGCAAAAAACACACATTACAAAATAATAATAATAATAATACAATCTGGTCATTATTATTTCAAGTGTTTTTTTCCCTCGGAGAAATATGTAACGGCCATTATAGGTAGGCTAATGTGCATATGGCTATTGTATTTTCTTCTTTAACTTATTTTATTATTTCCCTTCCAGTAAGTAATTTCAATAAGAAACATATATATATATGTGTGTGTGTGTGTGTGTGTGTGTGTGTGTGTGTGTGTGTGTGTGTGTGAGTTATGCTACTTATCAATACTGGAAACAGATACTTGAACAGATAACATATCAAATAAGTTTAATCTTGTTTAACTACCTATAAAAACGTTAAAAAAAATGCTTAACTTATTTTGATGAATTAAGGTAATGTACAAACATGTTGTCATAACTTATTAATATAATGTTACAGTTGAATAGCTTACATGTAGGCTATAATAACTGCCCGCATCAACATTTCAACTTTATGTCAGCGAAGACGAAAAAAAAAATCAAAACTAGATGATTTGCTAAGTCTGAGCAATGTTCATCCGCCAAACCAGACATAATACAACGCTTTTAATTATTTTTCTGTAAACGTATAAACAAGTGGCAGTCCTTCACTATTCACTCAAGCACAAAAATATTCCATTGTGCGAAGACAACCCGGTATAAATGGTACAGGAAATCAAATTCGTGCTAGATACGCACATTAATGAGATCGGGCGGGTTGGTGATTCCATTGTATATTTTTGTATTAATTATTTTTTTTGTTCATTTTTATTTACATTTTTTATAGTTCTACCGAAAACAAACCATAAACTGGAGTTAAAAACAAAGAGCATGTGAATCATCAGTAACTTTTTACTCCAAAGATCCTATAGCTGGTTGTGGATATAAAAAAAAAAAAGATTTTTTTTTATTGAACCAAAGAACCCCTGTTTGCGTCTATTTATGTATTTCTTATTTTTGCCCACGCAGAGACATTATGCTCCAGACACCCCCCATCAGAAAACGCTTCTGATAAATAAGAGTCATCTTACCTTTAAGAGCCGTTGCGTTACTACAGAGGGCGGTGCAGGGGCAGCAGTGTGATGGAGGCTGGCCCTCGGGCGTCAGTTTACTCCAAAACAGCTGAAGACAGGGGGGTGGGGGGGTTACTGAAAGAGACACCAGCGATCCTCGCTCAAGGAGGGGCATAAAACACTTCAGGTGCTTTTCGATCGGGTTTTATAAGGAGATCTCTGTTGGATCTCCTTCACTGCGCTCCGCCCGGTGCTTGAGGACAGAAGATGCCCAGGCAGCTCCTCTGCCCAGTGTTCTGCTCGTCACTGTGGTTGGCACTGATACTCCAGTCTCTCATTCCCTCCGCCGCTACATACAGGAGACCAGTGTCCGGAGGGAAGAGACAGAGCTTTCTGGAGAGGACCTTAATTTTACTGGACGTCAATACTCGAAGCCCGGTCAAAGTTTTGAATGACAACTTCCTCTCGTTGCAGTTGGACCCATCTATCGTAAAGGATGGCTGGCTGGACTTCTTAAGGTATTACAGTTTTTTGCAATCGCATCCTGCGCCTGGTGATGCTGATGTGTTTGTGTTGATTTGGGAAGATCGCAATTGCCTGCTGGAGAGGTCAGTGTGTGTTTTGGAACAAGGTGATTTAAGGCTGGTTGTCGGAATACACTCTTAAAAATTAAGGTTCCAAAAGTTTTGTTTTCGCAACAATACCATTAAAGAAACATTTTTGGATACTCGCTAAATCACCAGTTCTTAAAATAAACTTTTTTCTTATCTAAATAACCTTATTCTACTTTAAAGGAACTTTTGTGGAATGGAAATGTTCCATGGATGGTAAAAGTGCTTCACAAAACCTTTTGTAGCAACATACAATCTTGAAGTGGTTAAGCTTGACCATGATAATGACCAGCTAGAAACCATCTTCGATGTTCCAAACACATCTACTCGGATTTAACTGGATTTCCCAACATGTTTTTTTTTTTGTTTTCCTAAATAACACATTTAGGCTACCCAAACACATAATATGCTATTGATACTACTTTTTAATCTATCAACCGCTCCCTTGAGTAGGCTACAAAATCCAGTAGGTTATTTTCTAAAAGTAACGTTAGGTTACCAGTCCCTTTTCCTTTTATTAGATGTTTAAATTTTATGTTTGGTTGCACTTAGCTTTTCTTTACAGCTTAGCTGTTATCGTGTAATGCGTTTTCGCACTCATGGACATTTATTTTACGCGTAAAGTAGAATTCATGTTTACACGCAATGCTTAAAACAACATCTGTTTAATCCCAACGAAACCGCGTTGTGGGGTGATGTTAGTCCATGATATGACTCGATGAACGAATGCCTTTATATTAGAGCGTAAAACCTGAAAATACGCGCAGATTTGAATGGTTGTGTTAATTTGCACACCAGGGCTTGACCTGGAAGTGAATATGAGTGTCCCAACCCCCAGAGGAGAAAAGACAAAAAACATACGGAGAACCGAAATGTAAGTGTCTTTTATAGAGCCTAACATAGGTTTGAATATCGATATAGTGTTTACTTCCGATGCATTATCGAATATTTATTATTGTGATTTATCAGGATGAGGAGTTGGAACTAATAGATTCAGTAGAATTTAAGAAGTGGCCCACATAAATATGAACCCCAATCTGCTGTCGTGGCATTATTGTTCGTTTTCTGTCAGATTTACGCGGTAGGCTATAGCCTTTAAAGGGGTTTTACATTGCTACTTCGTTTCATTCTACATATGGATTGAAAAAATGACCAAATTAAAGGCGGGATGTGACATTTCTATAGTACTTGAAAACTTACTCACAACTTATTATCTCCCCCCACAACTTATTTGGTTTGAAAATAACTTCGCAAACAGATTTGAAGTGATAGGCTACTAGTGATATTTGTGGCATATGTTTAGCTCATGATATTCACATGCATACGTTCAAAATAAGGTTTCATAATGTTAGGTAACAATACCATAATCGTATAGCCTATATAATTATCTATATATTGCCGTCATATCGCCATGATTCTGCAGTAAGTTGCACCACTATTATTTGTCCTTTAAACTTAACCTTTTGTTGTCATTTTCGAAAAAATAACATGCTATTTAAATGTATTAAATCATTGTTGGACATGACAGCAGATACTTTGTCTCCAAAATGTATTTTCTAAAATAGAGTTTCGGCCCGGAGACCACAACGCAGGCTTCACCGCTTATAGTTCGTGGCAATTTAGCTTGCTTTGCTGCTTCACAAAATAAAGTAAAACAATTCACATAGAACAATTCACTTAGAAGCTTTATTTTATTTCAATAAAATTTAATTTAATTTTATTATTCTTTTTTTTATTTGTTGTTTTATTTTTTTTATTCTGGGTTCTCATAGGCGGAATATTTGCACAATTTATAGGCCTTTTTTTATGTGCACCTTTTACGGCTTCTCTTTTTACGACTGGTACCTTATTATGTCTCATTATTTAGTAAATCTCTAAAAAGGTTCTGGCATGTATTTATTTCGAAAGAAGTCAGCTCTGTGAATAATCTGCTGTTGATTTCAGCACTGCGGCCTGAAACACAATCATGTTGTCAACTCACAATCCTGCGTTTCCGAAAGAAAGTTAAAGCACCAATCCAACAAGTCAGTGCGTAAAAAAAAACATATTAAATAAATAGAATAAAAAGAAGTTTTAATTATGAGTTTTAAAATAGTCTATTATGGCTTTGAATATGATAATTGTTCTCGTGCCGGCATTACAGCCTTTTACACATAACGTACATAACGTAGCACATAACGTAGGCTAAATGTGTATTATAATATGTTATATAATGTTTTTGTGCCTTTATATAATTTAAAGGGATGAAGATCATAAAGTAACAAGCCTTAAAAAGAAAGGCTTTTTTTCTCTAACTTTTTTTTAGTTGATTCTTCATCTTCCCTCCATGGTCTAAAATCATGAAGAAAAGCTATCTTTGTGATTTTATGCACTATTTAATGTTTAATCAGGTAACCAAAATAGCTTTCTTCTTATGACTACTATATTTAATGTGAGTGGCCTCTTTTAGATTGCACATGACTGATTTTTAAGCATTCTGTCTGGCAGAAACAGCTCTCATTTGGAAAGTGATTCTGTATTAGCCCTACGGGTTTCTCTGAGAATAGCTGAATCTGTGATCTACATCTTTCTGTATCCACAGCTCCAAGCGGTTAGTCACTCTGGCACGGGGACTCTCTCCAGCTTATTTGAGGTTTGGGGGCAAACGGACTGACTTCCTCCAGTTTCACAACCTGAAGAACCTTGCAAAGTTTAGAGGGCCTGGACCGGACTATTACCTGAAAAACTACGAAGATGGTGAGATCTAATTTGGTCATTTTTTTAATTAGGCAGTTATTTTAAATATATTATTGAGAAGTTTTCTACCTCAGAAAACTTAATGAGGAAACAACACAACTTGTTGTAAGTTCCAGAAATACTATTTACAATCATGATATTAAAGCTGTATGTGTCATTCCATATGTGGACAAATGTGCATGCATAAACTTAATGTAGGCTATATTTTAATAAATATTGATGTTTTCATTTAATCAGTGCATACCTTTTGAAAAAGAAATGCCTTTTTAATTCAGAATACTTGTTTTATCAATAAATAACACAGTCTCATCCCAAGACGTCATATAACTGAATCAGTTAGGTGACGGGGTAGGTTTAGGTCTGGGGTAGGGTTAGGATCCGATAACGTCATCTAACCGACGTTAAAGGGTACCCTAAAACGGCGGATGTTGACGTATGGTCAAAAGACGTCCCAAGACGTCATACGTCTTGGGATAAACACAGAACAAAAAGAAATATATTTTGAGTATCTTGAAAACATGTCCACAATGCAAACCACATTGCTCTAGTGGTTAGTTAGATAGGGTGGGCGATATGACCAAAAGCTTATACCACAATACTGGTATATATCACATTATTTTTGCTTTAAATAAGGTTTATGATATCTATAAACTTTTTTGATACCATTGTAATTCCAATATCACAAAAAAGCTTACTTCAAGCTTACTGAAGACAAGTAAACAGTGATCAAGAAAGAATAAAGAACAGAATTACAAGCATGAAAACAAACTAGAATAGGACAAAGACACAAATTAAAATAGACATAGAAATCTAAGCACTAAATAAGAAATGGCTAGTACCAAAAATTGTAATCAAATGTCTAAAAGGATGTTTCAGTGAAGAGCAATGAGAGAAATTTATATTTTTAGCCTAAATTTGTTGCTAAATTGTATAGCCAAAATTTGGATGCTGTCACTTTAAGAGGGATTCCATGTTTTCAGTAGGCTAATACCTGTGTACATTGTTTCTCAACTGTTTACGTTAAAGTAGTAGTTCACTTTTAGAAAACTTTTGCTGATAATTTACTCACCCCCATGTCATCCAAGATGTCCATGTCATTCTTTCTTCAGTCGAAAAAAAATTAAGGTTTTTGATGAAAACATTCCAGGATTTTTCTCCATAATGGACATACTACCAAACGGTTCAAGGTCCAAAAGACAGTTTCAGTGCAAACTGCAAACTGTTCAAAGGGCTTTAAACGATTCCAGACGATGAATAAGGGTCCTATCAAGCGAAACGATCACTCATTTAAAAAAAAAAAAAAAAAAAAAAAGTTTAAGTATTATAAGCTCAAATGGTCGCCTTGCTCTTTTCTGTGATGTACGTTCGTGACTCTCCTGTTCACTTGTTCATCAAAATGAACGAATCTTTTCTCGAGTCAACTCGTTCATTTCGTTCGTTGAATGAACCAAATGATACGAAAAGATACAGAACAGAGCAAAGCGACCATTTGAGCTTATAAAACTTCGTTTCGCTTGATAAGACCCTTATTCGTCGTCTGGAATATTTAAAGCCCTTTCAACAGTTTGCAGTTTGTACTGAAACTGTTTTTGGACCTTGAACCGTTTGGTTCCCATTGAAGTCCATTATATTGAGAAAAATGCTGGAATGTTTTCATCATAACCTTAATTTCTTTTCGACTGAAGACAGAATGGCTTGGACATCTTGGATGACGTGAGTAGGCTATCAGCAAAAGTTTTTTTTTTTTTATTAAAGTGAACTACTCTTTTAAAAGACATAAATGACTGTGTTTACTTACAAATACAAGGTAACTTTGACATAAACATGCGCATTTAAGCGTTTATATATAATTAATCAACAAAAAAGCACGCGGTTCAGTTCTCACCCTATTTTAAAGTCTATGGTTCTCACGCGCTATAGAGCAGCGACTTCACGTGCGCACACATTCTAACCGACAACACCTGCAAAGCTAATAGAGTTGTCTTTCGCTGCTTACTATAACGTTTAAAATAACTTTTTTTAAACGCAATACTTAAAAACGAATGCTAACGATAAGCTTTCGTGACTGCGTAGCACATTAACATCATGTGAGCGGTCCTAAATCTCTAACGTTACCGGTTGACAAATTATGTCGGTTAATCGTTAAGCGGACACCCCTTTCAAATACTCACAAAAAATAACTCCAAAATCATTATGGCGGTTTCCATGCAGACATAGTGCGGAGTGACTTCGCCCTGGACAAACAGAAGGGCTGCAAGCTGGCCAGCCACCCGGAAATGATGCTGGAACTCCAGCGGGAAAAAGCGGCTCAGATGCAACAGGTGTTGTTGAAAGAACAGCTCTCCAACATCTACAGCGATGTAACATTAACAGGTAGGAGATTACAGCAACATGCATACTCCGCTATAGTATAGGCCTATATTGGGTTAGGCCCTCAGGGTTTCACAAAAGTGCCTTTAACAAATTTAATGGTGCATATTGTTTGTTTAATCAGTTATCTTTAGTTCTGTATATGGTTTAATGTAATATCTCAGATGCTTTCTGTGTTTGAGCTCTTCTGAATTATGTTGTGTTGTTGTTGTTTTTCTCATTGATGTCCAGAACCATTGGTACAGTGATGTAATTGTTGCTGCTTGTTTCCAGAAACGCATAGGTTTAAAATGATGAGAATATCAGCCAAGCATATGGTTTTATTGATCACTTTTAACAGCTGTGCTTTGCCTGTTTGTAAATCCAGTGTCCAATTTCATGTTTCATAGTCACAAACACACAGACATTGTCCCACATTTTCAGATCATTTTATGGGTGAATAATTGTTTGAAAGGCAGAAATCTCAGAGGACCTGTCAGAGACCTTTTGTAGTACCGAAAATGTCAGATCAAGGATAGAACAGAATGAAGCTGAATGATGACATATACAAAAGGCCAGTGGAAACAACAGCTGACAATGATTTCAGAAAATGACACTGTAAAGCACCCGTAGTTCTGAGAGGAAGAGCCGTTTTTGCATGCGATTCAAATCAGGTTTGCCTACAGTAGTAGTCTTTTCTATATGCATATTTATGAGGGTGATTCACACACACACACAAAATGTTTTGGTTGGATCAGGTGTGATATTTTGTTTGGGTGCATTAGAACTTTGCGGTGATTTCATACAGTGTTCTTGATGAATTCTGATCCAACACTCCATGAGGGGAATTAAATGACATATTTTGGGGTTTTCCTTGACAGACTCGCTTTTTTCCCCCCATTGTTTTATTATTATAATCGTTGCAGTAATCTCAATGTAAACTCAAATCACTATCAGGTACAGTCAACCGGAGCGAGATTATTTGTTTAAAGCAGATTTACTGTGGAAAGATTGTACTAAATTTTATGTCAGGCACTGTGCGAGTTCCAGTGCAGGTCATGCTGCACATTTTCTTATTAAAATTGATATACAAGCTCAGATGAGAGTTTCTGAACTGCTCTTGGCGTCAAACAGATCCGAATGTTGTTCATTCATACCTAAACCGTTATCGTCTTCGTGCCAGATTCGGCAAAAAAGCACTCTTCTAACTTTCACCCGTATTTTCCAAACATCTGCGTTTGACAGGGCGGCTGTAAGAGGTATTACGACTAAACACACTTAGCAAAGGAATCTCTCTCGCTGTGGATCTCAGCATGTGTGCTGCAGCAAAAGGCCCGTCGTGTGCATGACTGATGGGGGAGAATGAAGACACCTGGGTGCGTGGCACAGACGGGTCTGTTAGCAATCAGGACGTCCCCTGCGCAGTCACTGGCGAGTGGCAGGGGAATTGCAGAGAGATGTCCTGCCTCATCCATTTCCACTCCGCACGGGTCGGCTTTTCTGACCCTTTCTCGTTTAGAGGTATCAGTAATGGGCGCGAAAGCCCCCTGCCAGTTAAAACAAACCGTGGTGAGACAAGCCCAAGGTCATTCTAGCTTTCACCTCTACACTCGCTACAGTTTAGCCCAGTTAAGTTAAAGCAAACCATCTGAGACAATTCAAGGTCAGGGCGCTTGAGAAACTCTCAAGTTATACAGTTGCACGATGCCTCTTGTTGTACTCCTCTTTCACTGCATTCTCTGAATTCAGTCAATGTTACTTTCTTACAATTAAATGTAGCTTTATAAAATCTGCATTTCCGACATACTGTAAATGCAATGTCAATTTGGTGAACTCAGTCATTTTAAATATTCCTAAATATCCCTTAAAGCGATTGATTTTTAACCCTGTAAAGCCTACTGGCACATACCTAAAGCTTTTACTCATGATCAAAACTTTGCTGAAAACCTGTTGTACACAATCTACTACAAGTCTTCTGTCATCTGTTTGATCATACTGTTTTAGCAAGTAAAAAAACATTTTGAAAAGACTTTTTTCTTGCCATAAATCTTTAATTATTTTTAGTGCTGGGCAACGATTAATCGCATCCAAAATAAAAGTTTGTGTTTACATAATATATTTGTGTGTACTCTGTATAATTATTTTGTACATAAATACAAATTTTTCTTAAATGTATACATTTGTATTTATAAAAAAAATAATACACACAGTACACACACCATTATGTAAGCACAAACTTTTATTTTGGAGGCAATATGGCTGCCAAATGATTAATCGCGTCTAAAATAAAAGTTTGTGTTTACATAATATGTGTGGGTATTTATTTAAATACACACACATGCTTGTTTATATTTAAGAAATATTTTCATGTATATACTGTTTGTATTTATATTATATATAAATATTTCATACATAAATAATGTTTTTTTTTTCTTAAATATACATGCATGTGTGTATATACAAAATGATATATATTATGCAAACACAAACTTTTATTTTGGATGCGATTAATCGCGATTAATCGTTTGACAGCCCTAATGCGATATATTGGATTAATCATTGCCCATCACTACATAAAGAAAATGTAAAAATATAGTTGGTAGTTATATTTTAAGATGAATTTAACATTGAAACCTCTGATTATATAATTACATGTATAGATTAAGTGTCTATAATGAGAGGTTTTAATAAAACCTAATAATAAAACCTAATAACCTGTTTTAATAAAAAACATTTAGTAGGGGTGTAACAATATATCGCAATACAAAAATTCAACAATACGTATCGTGGATAGTTCCCCAAAAATAAAAATACTGTGTGAGAAACAATCAATTTTTTACTACAATCTTTTAAACAATCAGAGTTTTACTATGTATAATCTTGATTATATAATAATGCGATTGGGGAATATTTGTGGGTCCTGATAATGTCAAATTTATGTAACCAGTAAAAAGCGGCCGACATTATTTTAAATATATCTAGTCAGTGAAAGCGTGCAAGGCAAGCATATTCATTTACAATAACGCAGTATTTTCAGCTTCAGAATCATCAATATTTTATTGTCCTTGGGTTACAAGCACCAAGTCCAAGCCTATTCATTTAAACCCACAATGTAATATCTAAGTTAGCATTTTAAATCAACATATGTCTTGTCTTTACCATATGTCTTGGAGTATCGCAATAATATCGTATTGTGAGTTCAGTATCGTTATATGTATCGAATCGTGAAATTGAGGGTATCGTTACACCCCTAACATATAGAAAACAACAAACCTGAATTGGACACCCTAGGAAATGACAACACAAGGTTGGAATACAGTCCACATGTAAGGGCTGAATTGTTCGCAGCAATTGAATAGTTAGAGTTGGGGATTTATTTTAAAACGATCGCAAACCAGAATGATTGTGTAACTTTCACCTTTCAAGACTTTTTGGACATTTTAACCTTACATTTCATCCGTGTGTTAGTCTGAAGTGCTGATGGAGTCATGGATTCATGAATACGCTTGCATTCATAACCCCACTACAGATGGATATATCATTCAGTACAAGCAGACATATTAAATATGATAAATATCCACAGTACACCTTTCTAAATGACTTATGCGTGTTTTGCTCGTCACCCATTCCTGGAAACCTCTCTCTTCTCCGCAGGCATTGAGTGAAGTGTCAAATGATATGTTGTTAAATATATTCAAATTCCATCATGTCCTCAGAGCTCGGCTGTAGAGGGCTCTATAGTTGTCATCGTGCGATTCTCAGCGTGTCTGAGGTCACGGTGCACTTTAGATCCATGAGCAGCCGGTTCTCCAGACTCTCAGGAGAGCGGCATTCATCATAAATAACTGTCTCTCTGCGTGAGCCTCTCTGTGTGATGCTAGCATGTTAAAATGCAGCATAGCTATATTCAAAGCTATTTCCTGCCTGTTTGCTCTGAGACAAATGACAGGAAGTTGTCCAGTGAGGGCAGTTTGGGTATTAGCTATAGCTGACGGTTAGCCTTTAGCCTCTCGTTTTCGTTGATCGCAGCAACTGCTTGAGTTTTAGGTCTTGAAATAGTCATTAAAAAGGAAGGAAATGGTGAGGAAACATATTTATTTATTGTGTGTATAAAATAAAGGCTTATATCTGAGAAAATGAGGAGTGTTTTTGACCAGATGCTGTCTGGAGTGAGATTGTGCCATTTCACAACACTGCGTCATTTGTTTTCCTTCTGCAAGTGTGGGTAACATGCCCATGTTGTTCAGAACCGTTTTTTTTTTTTGGCTCGTGGAGCCCAAATTTTTGTCCAGTTGAAAACGTTTGCACCAGAATTGGGCGGTTATTTCATTGAAATGATTGCTGGAGTATTTTGATGAATACCGCATGGCAGAATTTGATTTGCCAGTCATCGAACAGTCCTTCCTGTCCTCTTCTCTCTTCTTGTCTGACTGTGCTCGAAGTGACACAAAGAGTTTGGAGTGTTTTTCTCCTCCCCCAGCAGCAGCGAAAACACACATGTGTGCACTCAACACAAACACAGTGAGTGCACGTAGAATAGTGTGCTAATGATAGATCTGAGGCTCTGACAGATGTTTCTGCCTGTGAAAGAAAACATGAGTTTTTTTTTTTTTCTATATCTGAGACATTAAGCAGATACTCAAACACATGCATAATATTCTCCAGAAGAGAAAGGGATAGTTCACCCAAAAAATTAGGAACAATTCTTTCATCATTTACTCTCTCATGTCGTTCCAAGGCCGTACGACTTTTGTTCATCTCAGAAAGAAAAATTAAGATTTTTGAATGAAATGTGAGAGATTTCTGTCCCTCCATTAAAAGCCTATTCACCCAAAACTCAGATGCCTGTTCGTTAACCCTTTGGTTTCACAAACAGGGTCCTAGACTAGACCTACAATGCATGTTTGAGCTGTTTTAACTCAACATAACTATCTTAAAATAAGTCAGTGCCATTTTTTTTGTCTTAAGATGCACAGTAATGTTTTTATTTTACTAAGGCAAAAATTATGTCATTAAAGGGATAG